CCGCGCCCCCAGCGCCCCAGTGGGATCCCGCCCCGTGCCCCCTCCGCTCCGAGCACTTTAGTCCGCGTCGCGACGCACGCCACCTCCCCCCTGCCCACCTGGGATTTGGGCCCCGTTGCTGGGCCCCGAGGGGCGATGTCTTGCCCCCTCTTCCCTCCTCCTCCACCTCCTCCTCCTCCTCCTCCTCCTCCTCCTCCTCCTCCTCCCCCTTCCTTTTTGTGCAAGAGCCATGGCACACGTGCCACTTGTTTCTGGGATGTGGTCCTTCAGTACGATGTGAACAGCAGAAGTCTGGGAGGGGCACTCAACACGGCCCAGAGGCTGAAAATCCCGTTAAGGAAACGGGAGGGCCCCCAAGAACCCCCCCCGCGGTCTCAGCTGGCCGCCCTCTCGCGCCCCACCTCCTGCGCGCGCCACCGAGCCAAGGGAGGGGAGGAGGGCGGCGGTCAACCACGCAGCCCGTGATTGGAGCTCTTTCTGCGGCGGGCGCGCCGACTAGTATGTCTATGGGGCACGGTCCGCCACGTTACGATGCCGCCCCCGAGCCACGTTCTGTCATCATGCGCTGCAGACAAATCAATCGTCAGCATAACCATCATCATTTGCCTCACCGTCACCATCACCATCATCATCTTCATCAGCTGCAACAGCACCGTCGTCATCATCAGCAGCAGCAACATCATAATCATTTTCATTTGCAGCACCGTCACGGTCAGCGTCATCGACGCCACCATGATCAGCAGCAACATCGTCACCATCACCATCACCCTCCCTTCTACCCATGAGGACCCGTCGTTCGCGCCCTTCCCTGTCTCATAACAGTCCACGGTTTGATGTAGCATGGTGGGGAACAGAGTGGAGCGTGGCCACCGCAACGTGAAGCGATATCGTTGTAATCGTTGCGCGCGGAGGGTGATACACTCACCGGCGCGCGGCAGTTGAATATTTCATTGCCCCGACAAGTATACGCACTGGACGGAGACGAGGCCATCGCTTTCAGGGGCTCTGCGAGCGAGGAACAAATCGTGCGCCTCCTTCCCGCCTTGCTCACCTCATCTTCCCTTCTCCTCCCTCCTCCTCCCTCCTCCTCCCTCCTCCTCCCTCTTCCTTCTCCTTCTCTCTTTCCGCCTCATCCTCTCTCGTTCCCCCTGTATCACCATCATCATCGGCATCATCATGGCAATCCGCATCACCGATTTCACCTCCATCAGTACCATCGTAAGCATCACCTCCTCTATCAGCATCATCACCATCATCCTCATCATCATCCTCATCGTCATCATCCTTCTCACCATCATAATCATCATCCCAGTTATCATCATCATCATCACCATCATCATCACCGTGGTCCTCGTCATCATCACCCTCACCACCACTAGCATCATCAGCATCGTCATCATCAGCACCATTTTGGCCATTTTGGCTCAAGCGGCGGCTGGGGCGCTGTTCCCGCACGGCTTCGCTTGGTCAGGCTGCGCGCCACCGCCTTGCAATGGGGCGAGGTTTTATTAATGGCGCAAAAGCAGTACTCCAGTGGCTCGCGGGGCGAGCCAGGCAGCTGGAGAGCAAGCAGAAAGAGTTGGATGGGGACCCTGGCAACGTACGAGAACGACGAAAACGACGTGAAGCTGTTCGGAGCTCGAGAGCGTGCCAAGAAGGATAAACAAGAGAAGGACAACAAGCAGTTCCCGTTCAACGTGGACGCCGTGGAGTTTTGCCAGGTCCTCCGGGCTGTTGGGCTCCGGGCTACTAGGGCAGCGAGTACGTCGAGCAGGTGATGAGTGAGAGGGTCGTCGAGACCAGGAAGGGCGAGTACGGCGAGTGCGACGAGTACGACGAGAATGACGCAGAGTTGGTCGAAGTTCGAGAGTGTGCCGAGAAGGATAGGAAAGAGAAGGAAACCAAGCAGACAAGACAGATAAGAAGGAACAAAGGTTGCGTTCGACGAGCACGACCACGAGAAGTACAACAGTGAGCTGGCGAAGGTGGTCGAATTTCGAGAGAGCGTCAAGGAGGATAAGAAAGAGACAAAGACCAGGAAGGCTAAGTACGGCGAGTACGACGAGTTCGATGATTTCGACGAGTACGACGAGCACGGCGTAAAGTTGGTCGAAGTTCGAGATCGTGCCATCAAGGGAAAGAAAGCGGACGGCAGCGAGTACGGCGAGTGCGACTACGACGGGCACGACGTGGAGTTGGCGAAGTCGGTCGAAGTTCGAGAGTGTGACGAGAAGGATGAGAAAGAGGCAAAGACCACGAAGGCTAAGTACGGCGAGTGCGACGAGTTCGACGAATACGACAAGCGCGGCGTAAAGCTGGTCGGTATACGATAGCGTACCAAGAGGGAACTGAAAGGACGGCAGCGAGTACGGCGCGAACGACTACGATGAGTACGACGTGGAGTTGGCGAAGTCGGTCCAAGTTCGAGAGTGTGACAAGAAGGATAAGAGTAAGACACAGACCACAAAGGCTAAGTATGGCGAGTACTGCGAGTTCGACGAGTACGACGAGCACGATGCAAAGCTGGTCGATGTTCGAGAGCGTGGCAAGAAGCATAAGACAGAGGACGGCTGCAAGTGCGGCGTGCGCAGCTACGATCAGCGCTGCGTGGAGTTTGCGAAGTTTGTCGAAGTTCGAGACCGCGACAAGAAAGACAAGACACATACATACTAAGAAGGCTAAGCACGGCGAGTACGACGAGTAAGCCGAGTACGTCGAAAACGACGCAGAGTTGATCGATGTTCGTGAGCGCGCCAGGAAGGATATGAACGAGTACGACGAGTACGACGCAGAGATCGCGAAGATCGAGTCCCGTTTGGATGCAGTGGACAGCGTTCCATCCAGCCTTCTCCCGCTATTCAAGGAGGAGCCGGCCCCACTCTGGTCGCCAGAGTCGAGGCCTGCAGCACGGAGACCGTGGATCTCGGAGAGCACTTCAACAGCCTGGTGCGCAATCTAGAGCGCGAGGTGCATGGCCTCAGCACGAAGTGCTGCAGAAAGTTCTACGACGCCGACTTCGAGTCCGACTGGGCGGGGCCTGGTCCCGCTGGCGAACCTCTTCGCCGCATGGCTTTGGGCCGCTCGGACGTGGGGCCGCTGGCGCTGGGGGGGGGGGGGGCTCTGGGAGCCCGCGGGGCAGAAGCAAAAGCAACGCATCATCATCGCCATCGTCATCATCGCCGTCATCATCGTCATCACTACCACCGTCATCTGCATCAGCATCACCATGGTCCTCATCATTACGAGCATCCTTTCAGAGACATCTGTCCTCCGCCTGCCTATTCCTTTTTCTCCACGCCGCCTTCTGCGGTGGCCGTTTGGGCTCGATGTGTCCGCTCCCCGGGAAACAAGATGGATGCCGCTTGTCATCTAGTCTGAGACCAGATTCCAGCTTCCTGTGAGCTCCTGCTGCAGCAGCTTCACAAGCCTCCAGGCGGTCAGGTCGGGGTTATCTCGTCTCGTGTCTGCGACTGGCGCGGGCCAGCGGAAGGCCAAGAAGAAGCCGGGTGGTGCTGTCCGCGCTGGCGCTCTCGCTCGTGGCCTCTTGGCATGCTGGTGGCGCCGGCGAGACTGACGGGTCTTGCCCCGGCCGTGCCGACAGCGACGACGACTGCGACGACGACGACATCCACGAGCGCATCCGCGCCCCATGCGCAGCTGAGGTCCTAGCGCAGTTCAAGACGCAGCGCGACCAGGCCCAGGCGCCCATCGCCGCCGTGGCTCAGGAAGCGGCCAAGGCTGGCATCGACTCTCGGAGTCGCCGTGGACTCACTCACCCCAACAGGCTGTCAAGGGCGCCCCGCAAGCCGCCGGCACTGCTGCTCCCAAGCCTGATCTTGATGCGATTGAGAAGAGTTTCCAACGGCAGTTCGACGGCGTCCAGGTCCGAATCAAAGCAGTCGAATCCGCGGTCGGTGAGCGCGATGCGAAGCTGCAAGCCCTCGCCATGGAGATCAAAGAATGGCAGGCTGCCCTCGCGGTGGCCGACACAGCGCTTCCGTCTCATCGGCCATCCGATCGCGCGCTCAAGAGGAGCATGGTTATTCAAGTCACTGCGCGGTTCAAGAGGACGCCCAGAGCTCGGCCTCGCATTGCATCAACGATGTCGAGCTGGGCGGCACCTGGCAGCCCATCGGCGCGGCGCAAAGAACGCTCTACACCAGTCACTTCACGAGAGCGGGCGGCATCGCTGGCAACCGTGCCTCCAAGGCCCTCGGCCCCCTCAGGCTCGGTCGTGGCTGGATGCGTATCCCGCCCCCGGCGTCGCTGGCGCGTAGACGGTGCTCCACATCGGGCCCGGCAGAAGTTAATGCAAAGTCAGAATTGCTATCGACGGGAGGAAGCTCCTCGATGTCATGCGACAGCGATTCCCCGACCGCGAGTTCTACCTGGACCGCGAGCAGAGTTGGATTTCGGCTGCCTGGGCACCGTTCCTCCGCATCTCTCCGCACCCTGGTCGGCAGCCGACAGCGTTCGATTTCAGTGGCGCTTGGCTGGCGGCTCGCCACTGATATCGCTCTACTTCCAAGGCCGACGTCGACGCCGTCGCTCAAGTAGACGCTGAACCAGAGTGGAGTCTGTAGCCACCTCCTGGCCCTCAAAGCCAGACCCGCCGCCAGCTTCGATTCCCGCCCCACCTCTTGGCCTTCTCGCCCTGGCACGCCGCGGCGCTGCTCCGATGGAGGTGGCGCGCGCCTTCTGCCAAGGCCTGCCATCCACGCGCGTTTCTCCAGGACAGCGCCTCGGCGATCCAAGAGGTTCACCCATCGGGGCCAGAGGCGACCGCGTTCTTCCAGAAGGCCAGCCACAAGCGCGCGGTCTGCGGCTCTCTCCGCTCCGCGTCTGTGGGCGGCGCTTTCACGGCGCTCTCCTTCTCGAGGGTCGCGCTGGACCGCGCTGCGGCTCTCCTCCTGTTCCCGGACGGGCCCCCCGCGTCTCGACCGAACTGCCCGAGGCCACGATCCGCCGCTGCAGCGCGCGCCATCGCGACTTCTCTTCCGCCCAGGCCACGCGGGCCACGGAGCCCGCCCGCGAGGACTTCGTCGGCAAGTGCGCCCCCAGTGCCCCGTTGATTGGGGACGCCGCGACTTTTGCGGCCTGCCCCCCCCGCCCCGCCTCGACCGCGCGAGGGTTCTCGCGCGGGGTCACGCTGCGGAGTCGATCGAGCTCCTCATCGGCAGCGACGTCGACGCGACCCGAGGCCAGCTTGCCCTCGCTCGGCAGGAGGCTCGCGCTGTCTGGCTGTGTCGGGACCGGTCCTGCCCGTGGGTCGCGGACGGCGCAGCGATTCTTTCCGACCCCCATCGGCCTTCGAGCCCTGGACCTCGCGCGCGCAACTTGCAGTTGCTGCTGGTGACCACAGACGCCCCCTTCGCAAAGGCGTTGCAGGTCGACTTCGCGCCGCGGAGCGGAGCGCCGCGCCCGACCCTGGGCCCCGCATGGCAATGGGGCATATTCTCGAAGGCATCGTGGGCAGCGCCGCATACGAGCAGAAGGTTACAGCCGCCGCGGCCCACTGGGGCCCCGTCGTCTCCGAGGTCGAGCTGAACTTGGCTGGGGCCCGCGCGCGCATCCGCGACCAGCTCGGCCCCGTCGCAGCCACCTGGGCCTCCCCGCCCTCGCGCCTATCTCTGGGCGCGGCTGCTCCCCGTCTTTCCTCCTTGTTCTCTGCGCCTGGCGCGGATGGCATCCCGCGCGTTGCCTGGCGCGCCTTTCCTGGGCGCTTCGGCTCCCCTCGGGGCGCGACCGCCCGGGCCCTGAGCGGCCAGCCGCTACTCCATGCCTAGTCCGACACCGAGCAGGCCTTCCTTCCGAAGGGGGTTCAGGACGACGACGAGCACGACGCCCACCGCGTCGCGCCCTCGCCCTCCGCCACGCCTCGCTGGAAAACACCAGCGCCACGCTCATCGCTGCCACCTGCTCCATTGCGCGACGAGTTGTTCCTCCCGCGCAGCGTCTCCAAGCGCAAGTTCACAGCGCGTCTTCGAGGTGGGCGCCCTATCGCTCTCTGCTGGCCTGGCCCTCGGGGCAGCTCGCGAGCCGCCGCCGCTCGCCGCCTTCGATTCCATTCGCCCGAGCACGATGTGATGGCCACGTCGCCGCTTTGTTCCCCCGCGGGCCCCATCCAGGCGGTGGAAGGGGCCCCGCACTTTCGTCGCCGCCGTTTCGGCCCCGAGCCAGCCGGGGGCCATGGTGTTCCGCTCAACGCGTGGCGTTGTGCACGACCGCGCGTGTTCTCGCATTCTCTTCGCCTGGGCTCCGGCCCCGACGTCTCTCCGCACCCGCGCCGGATGTAACGTTCCCGGGCCCGCAGTTCCCCGCGCGCGCGCTGGCGACATTGGGGGCGTTCTTTGCTCGATCCAGGCCCTCCCAAGCTTTTCGCGAGCAAGATGCTGCCCCCGTTCGCGCTGCGCCCTGCCTCGAGCCTGCCGAGGCCGAGTACTTCCTGGCGCCGTAATTTGCCTTCTTCTCCGAGGAGATCCAAGTCCGCGTCAAGTCCTTCTGGGCAGATCAGGCCCCTCGGCGGGCTTGCTTCCGCGTCGCCGACAGGTCGCGGCACCCGGGTCGCTGGCTTGGCCCTGCAGCCGCGCGCTTGGATTCTTTCCTTGCCCCGCGGCAGCGGCGTCGGCAACGCCTCCAGCTCCCGTTTATGACGTCGGCGCCGCCATCTACTAACGTGCGCATATGCAGCGCGCGGGTCGCCCCTACTCGGGCCCTACTCTTGTCGCGCGAGGGCGGGCTCTTGGTCGCGCCCGCGGAGTTCGGCAAAAGCGAACTTCATGGCTTCCGGGGTATGTCTGGACATCTCGGCGGCGCTTTGCGACGGGTGGACCGCGCTACGCGGCGCGAGCGGGAGGCCCCATAGTTTTCGCCCGCAAGCGCGACAGTCCAGGCGATCTTGGCGCGGCCTGCGCTGTGGACGCACGCTGTCTTCCACGAAGGCCTGCTCGCGCTGCAGGAAGCTGCGCTGCGCTGGATTGGCCGCCGCCCTCTCACCGATCTTGCTGCCGATTTTCGCTTGGTTTGTGGTCCTGGCCCGCCGTCGTTGAGGCGCTCGACCCAGCGGCGCGCGGCCGCGCCCCCGCCCCCCACGACGCGGGTCTTGTGCCTGCCAGGCGCGCAGTGGAGCACTTGCGCAGCATCGTTTGCGCCGGCGATCAACCTCAGCATCAGCAGGTCGCCTGCCTGATCATCATTCAGCATGTGACCGAGTCGACGCTCCTTGCGTTTCCTTGGCGCCCGCTGTTCGTCGTCCATGCCCTCGCCTATGCGTCCTCGCCAGGCGGTCCAAGTGGCGCCCCCATTGATTCTCCGACCTGCGTGCTGCCCCGTGGCGAATTTACAACGACTACTTCATGGGCCCCCCGCGCGCGGGCGCATCCGTGCATTCGGGCGCTCGTTGCCGGTTGGCTGACCCCGATGCGCATCGCGACGGCCGCTGGCACTCGGCCTTGCACGCCTTTGCTGCGAATCGGAGCTGGGCGACTTCCCGCGCGACCTGGGGTGCCGCGGCTTGCTCGAGGGGCCTCTCGATGGCGCTCTCGGGCGGCCAGCCCCCCCTTTCGCGCTGACCTCGTGGCGCGCTGGCGCGTGCCGCGGCCTTGCCCCGAGACAGTCGATCTCAGCATGCT